GTTTCCAAAATCCGCTATGATTTGCACAAAATTTCTACCCAAACTGAATAACATTAGTATTTTTTCAGGGCAATCCAACGATGTGTGGATTTACTCGATGGATCGACAATGTCACTCCATCATATCATGGCCAAAAGATAACAGAGTCAGAAACACAAGTAGAGTATCAACGATTGAAGGACCACGAGAATGCAATGCATATTGACTGACCTAGAAGGGGCCGATAGGTTACCGCAGGCTAGATTCGTCGGGATCGATAAATTTGTACCGTGTATCGATGGCACTTCTTATCTATCTTATCATTAAAATATTTAATTATGGTGGTGAATTTTTGTATGCGTAAGACTAAAAAAATAATAAAATTGTATTTCACCAATCTTGGAGATTTTAATCTTGTATAGTTTTCAATACAAAAGATTTGATAACAATTTTCTATTTATAAAAATATCTATTTCTCAAATAAAGCACAATGTAAAATCGCCCTCACCCAGGGCGGCAAGGGGGCCGCCTGCAAAATTCCAGGCCCCCCGCCGCCTATTTGCAGGTGGCCCCCCGCACAGTGTAAAATCGCCCTCCCCCAGGGCGGCAAGGGGGCCGCCTGCAAATTTCCATGCCCTTCTCGCCGCCCATTTGTAGGCGGCCCCCCGCACAGTGTAAAATCGCCCTAGCGGAGGGCAGCAAGGGGGCCGCCTGCAAATTTCCTTGACGGCCGTCGCCCGAGAGCGAACGGCCGTCTGCCACGTCACATTCGCCGCCCTCTGGGAAGGCACCCAAAGGGCGGCGGGCGAGTACTTCTGTCAATTTTTGAAATAGAAAATTATTTTTGTAAAACTTTTAATAAAAAAATTAAAAATAAAAAAAATTATGTGTTTTGCCGGCGCGCACTCTTCCGACAGGCCCACGTGACTACGTAAAGCCCATGCAACAGGCCCACGTGACTTCGTAAGGCCCATGCAACTAGCAGGACGTGTTTTGATTTTCTTTTTCCATGGATTTCTCAATCACACGCATGATTTTTTTTTCACAATTTTTTTCTCAGCGTGAATTTTTTTAATCACGTGCACACGAACGCATAGTAACCAATCCGTCAAGATAATGATGATAATTAAGATAAGATTTGTTTTTTTAAAGATTTTTTTAAGTAATAGATTGAAGAGAAATTTATACGTGAAGTCAAATTCTGAAAAATTTCAATCTAGATTTGAAAACTTTCAACTCGAAATTTGAATTTTTGAAGTCAAAATTTGAAAACTTTCAACTTATCATCTCGGACTTGAAAATTTTCAACTCAGATTTGAAAATTCTCAACTCGAGATTTGAAAACTTTCAACTCGGATTTGAAAACTTTCAACTAGAGATTTGAAAACTTTCAACTCGTATTTGAAAACTTTCAACTCGATTTTGAAAATTTTCTACTCGATTTTGAAAACTTTCTACTCGATTTTGAAAAACTTTCAACTCACAATTCAAAATTTTCATATCAAAACTGAAAACTTTCATATCAAAATTCAAAACTTAAAATTGAAAATTTTCATCTCAAATTGGAAATTTTCATATCAAAATTCAAAAATTTCAACTTGAATTTTGAATTGGAAACTTTTTACTCAAATTTCGAAATCTTTCCACTACAATTTAGAACTTTCAACTATTTTAAAAGCTGTAACTAAATTATGTATATATGGTTTTTCTTTAAAATAATGCTAATGATGACAATTAACGCTAATTACTTAATTAGTGGGTGAGCCTTGCGTCGACACGGAAAAAGTGTGCGCTACTTCTCCTGCTCGCGCGTCTGTGCGAAGTAGACGCCCCCGTAATCATACAGTGGTTTGAACATGATCTCACTGGTCTTTGCGAGAAGACTATGATCCTTTCTAAATTGCTTTAAATTTGTTTTATGTTGAGACTTCTCCATAGCCTTGTTTGATAAAGCTTCTAACTCTTAGAATCTCAATTTTTTCAATAGCGGAACAAGTGGATTTTTTTTCCAGAAAAACACATGGGAAGGTAGAGTTACCATTTCCTAACCTCCACAACCCTAATACATTTTAGAGTTGGAGCTATTTCATGTCCTAAAATTTTAAATTTGTATAAGAATGAAACATGTTAATATATAAGATGGATATCACTCTCTTTTCCTAACCTCATAACTCCGGATTCGTTCCATATTTGAAGCTCTATTAAACATCCATGGACATTTCATCCATTGAACATGAGAAAAATGGTGATATATATTATATCGGTGCCCATCATTGCTAAAAATGTTATTATATATATAATGATGATGCTCTCTCTCGTGGCCCGATCTTCTGCTAAGGGGGATAACTCTCGCTTTGATCGAGTGCGATGTTTGCGACGTGGCTACCAACCAGAACAAGTCTAGGACGCTATACAATCGCTACACCACGAACGATGTCGTACCAACCATGACGCGCGGTTGATGATCCCTGCAATGCAAACGAGAGAATACTGCAAGAACAAGATAAGATGCAATCTAAATATTGCGAATAGGTGATTAAGCACAAAAAAAATAGTTGTGATTGAAGTGGTAGATTTAATCGACCCGGCAAATCAACACACCAACTATTGGGGGCTCTGAATCTATGGTCGCCGACTAATCGAGCGAGGACTAGAGAGAAGGTGAATAGCACTTGGCAAAATTCAACTAAACAAAGCCCAATTGTTTTTGAGGATGTACAAAGATATTTATAGAGAAAAATAAAGCTAGGGTTAAGTGCTAATTCGTGGAGGTGGATGGAGACATTTCCGAGATGGGCCTAGTCTATTACAAGGCCCAAGGCCCAAGTTCGGTTTCAGCAACAACACTGTCTTATTTTGACGATTCCCGTTGACTCAGAATGAATTTGGATATGAGTCTGGATGCGTTTGAAAGGTAGAAAGATAAGCTTTCCATCAAGTCTAAGATCACCCAAATCGGAGTTGGTATGAAGGCGCTAGGTCCGTTTGAAGTCAGTGCTGTCTCCGGAGGCCGAACTGGATTCCAAAACTCATTGGACTTTAATATCTTGTAGATCCTCCATTCATCCGATGTATTCTTTAGCAATGGTTTATATTTCTCATGCTTGGTTGTATACATATACTTGATGGTCACATCATATAAGCCAGATAGATTAGTTTGGAACATGTGTGTAGTTTGGCATGAAATGCCAATATTACACCTCGAGCTTCCTTAAACTCCTCCAAATGGTGTTTTCGTAATACCGTGGAACCTGAAACTAATTTTCTGATAGGCGACAAATAAAATGATTTTTAAAATTGTACATGTCAAAACTTTGAAGATGTTGATAAATCATCGTCTATTTGTACAAAGTTGATATAGAATCAAAGCGAACACCCTGTCGCCCATGGTGGTGGAAGAATTATAAAGGGATCGACTTTCTTATATCGAAAGTCTGGCGGTATACATGAAGAAGAATATGAAATTTGAACTAAAATCACAGGATTTAATTTTTAACAGAGAACCATATTCCAAACTTCTTATTTTTAAGGAAAACCCAGACAATTCTTTCGTGCAAAAGCAGCATCCAATAGGGGTATCCCAGCGATCACCCCGCGCTCTCCTCCCCCTATAGTCCCTCTTCTCCCCTTTCCTCCTCCCCTTCTTCTCTTTCTACACCACAAAATTTTTAAAAAAACAAAAAGTTAGAAAAATTTATGTATAGAAATACTATATATAAAAAAATTGAATTCAAATTCAATTTTGAATCGGGTATGTAAATTTTTGACTTATAAACTTTGGGTCTATAAACTTTAGGTGTATAAACTTTATAGAAATACTACATATAGATAATATTTGAATTCAAATTCAAATTTGAATCAGATATAATTCAAATTTAAATTTGAATCAGGTATGTAAACTTTTGACTTATAAACTTTGGATCTATAAACTTTAGGTGTATAAATTTTAGATGTATAGAAATACTATATATAGAAAATATTTGAATTCAAATTCAAATTTGAAACGGATATATAAACTTTAGGTGTATAAACTTTAGATGTATAGAAATACTATATATAAAAAAATATTTGAATTCAAATTCAAATTTGAATCGGATATATAAACTTTTGACTTATAAACTTTTGGTCTCTAAACTTTAGATGTGTAAACTTGAGGTGTATAAACTTTAGGTGCATAAATTTACTAAAATAGGAAAGTAATGCGGTGCCAAAAAAAGGAAACCAGGTGGAGGGAGGAAGGGGGAGGGGATCGATCGCTGGCCCCCATCTCCAGCGATCGATCGCCCATTAGGATCGCCGCACTGTACACACCTCTCCTTCCTTCCTTCCTCCTCCTCTTCTTCTCTTCCTACTACACTATAAATTTAAAAAAATAAAAAAATAAAGTTGAAAAAATTTATATATAGAAATACTATATATAAAAAAATATTTGAATTCAAATTCAAATTTGAATCAGGTATGTAAACTTTTGGCTTATAAACTTTGGGTCTATAAACTTAGGTGTATAAACATTAGATGTATAGACATACTATATATAGAAAATATTTGAATTCAAATTCAAATTTGAATCAGATATAATTCAAATTCAAATTTAAACCGGGTATGTAAACTTTTGACTTATAAACTTTAGGTCTATAAACTTTAGGTGTATAAACTTTAGATGCATAAAAATACTATATATAGAAAATATTTGAATTCAAATTCAAATTTGAAACGGGTATGTAAACTTTTGACTTATAAACTTTGGGTCTATAAACTTTAGGTGTATAAACTTTAGTTGTATAGAAATAATATATAGAAAAAATTTGAATTCAAATTCAAATTTGAATCGGATATATAAACTTTGGGCCTTTAAACTTTATATGCGTAAACTTGAGATGTATAAACTTTAGGTGCATAAATTTACTAAAATATAAAAGAAATATGGTGCAAAAAAAAAAACCAGGTAAAGGGAGGTAAAGGGAGGGGGAGACCCGATCCGATCGCCCCCGGCGGCCCCCGGCGATCAATCGCCCAATAGGAGTTTCGATCCAATACCCCCCTCTTGTTGCTGACGTGTCACGGCGCAATGGTCAATGGGTTTGGAGGTCAATAGGGGACAGAGCTCGCTATCCATCCCGAATCCCAATTCCCTACTCCCAAATCCCAACCTCCCATTCATCGGGTCGTGTCGCCGCCGACGAACAACACGGCGAGCGGCGCCGGTGGCGAGCTACCTACCCTCCATCTCTCCAGATCCCTTCCAGGTGAGAGCCCGCCGCCCCCACCCTCCCCTCCCCTCCCCTCCCTTTCGCCGCGGACGCCTCGCTCTTCGCCTCTTCGCCGCCACCGCTTTACCCCCGCCGCGCTTGATACATTCAGAATCTGGCCTGCTCGCGTGAACCGATCCGAGGCCCCCTGAATCATGTTGTTGTTTGAACGAATCTGATTGATGTCCTGGTATGAGTAATTTCCAGGTTTGGATCAATGATGATTGGGGAACTGTTGCTTGGAATTTCAGTGTGAAAAAAAATGATGTAGAATTTTGCGTTCCTTCGTTTGGTATTCGTGCTTGGTCATGGTGGACTAGATATTTTTGAGATTTATGCTTGTTTGACATGGTGCCTGACATAAAGTAGTTAAAATAACTAAAATGTCCTGTTGCCATCACCGAGTATTGCCATTAGGATTGAAATAGTCTGTAGAAGAAGAAACAAGGAAAGGGAAATTTTGTTCCATTTGTTGGATGTTCTATGGTGTTACAGAACTTGGCATTTCAAAGCCTCCTCTCACTCTCCCTCTGGGACATGTGGTTCTCTAGTCCTTGGACCAAGGTTAAGTAGTGCTGTTCAACCTCTTTTCTATGGGCTGGAGAGACCCTGCCTGAGTGGCTGCTGTTGGGGTTTTGAGTGGGTTGGCTAACCGGAGATCCCTAGTTATAACCCCTCGTGAGAATACTCTCACCTAATCGTAGCTAGGATTGGATTTTTTTTGGGACGGAGGGGGTATGTTGCTTCACTTGTCAATAGAATCTTGCTCAGTAGTCAGGACCAATGACATTTTTTCCTAGATTTAGTCTGGTTGCAGCAGAGTGTTAACTTCAAGAAGCTTCAGCCCTTCTATTGCCTGCTTCTTGTTGAGCACCTCCAATGTTGCATTAGTGGTAGGATGTTACACATCTACCATGAGAACAATAATAAAAATACTGATACTGAGATCCTAGATGCCTGGTAGATGAACAGCCTGCAGAATGCACTAGCCCCACTTGTTGACTACTTGCAAAACCAGTCTCAGGATTGATATTTCTCCTTTGCCTTTGTTTTTCTTATAAAATCTCATTTTGTATGCCTGGTTTCTGATGTACTTATGTCTTGTGGCAGTTCCACATTTAACTATCCAATTAATTTAAGCTGTTTTGGACCAAAATATTTGTTGCGGTGCTTCTTTTGGAGTAATTAATTTTATGTACACAACTGCCTATGAGGATTACTCAAATCATTATGCCTATGAATAGCTCAAGATGGAATATGGATTTAGCTATCTACACAATATTTTCAACCATCTACAAATTGGAGCTGCTTATGTTCAATATGCTTAGTAGTTGTTGAATATCATGTTTTTATGGGGTATATACACATGTTGTGTGTTGTGTCAGTACTGTCATACATGAGTTGGATACTTTGATTTATTCATAGCTCCATGTAATATGATGGCATCTGATTTCTTGTATTTCTCTGTGGTTGTTTGTCTTTTCGAAATTCAGCTAGTTTTTTTTAATCACATTTGAGATATCTTGCAGATGAGAATGCTGATTGTACTTTTGTGCTTGCAGGGACAGTACAAGACAAGTCGCACAAAACAGAAAATCTTGTGATAGTTTAAATGGCTTCAAAGCTTCAAGCCTTTTGGAACCATCCTGCTGGCCCCAAAACCAGTTTGTTATCTCTTTGTGCTACTGTAACAATTTGTTGGCACCACTGTTTATCTTAGGTCTATGATTATTGTTTCTGATCCGAAAATAATTATTACCCTGAAAGCTTGCTACTTCCTGTAGTCATGAAAACATGTTCTTTTGGACATGTCTCAGATTCTCAACTCAAACTTTCAAGACTTTAAACATCATTATCTTTTCAAATATTTTGATCGGATGCATGAAAATAGTATTTGTCTAGAAAAGTACTTACACAATACCATAAGTTTATTGGGTTTTAAAAATATATTGCAATAGAAATGAGTGGTGAAAGTTGAATTATGTGACTCCTTGGATAACCAAAAACACATGTCATCATGACTGGAGGGGGAGTACTTCGCACTGAAGCATGGGCCAGCTCAAGTGGCTCAATACTTTTTTTTTTTGCATTTCAATTTTGTGTGATGGTTATCTACCAGATGGTGCATTTAACCTGTTATTTGTTGACCTTCGTTGTCGCAGTTCATTTCTGGGCTCCGACATTTAAATGGGGTATTAGTATTGCCAATGTTGCAGACTTTGCTAAGCCACCTGAAAAGATATCCTATCCACAGCAAGTTGGTATGTTTAGGTTACCCAAATCACTGTCCTTCAGATATCAGAGCCATACTAGTTTGTTATGCATTATTAGTATATGTTTATACTGTTGTTGTGGCATGCAGCTGTTGCTTGCACTGGAGTCATTTGGTCACGCTACAGTATGGTTATAACACCAGTAAGCCCTTTGTACTTATCTATCAAGAGCAGGTTTAAACTTTGCATTGTACTGATTCTTTGGCTACCTCCTTTGCAAAATACCCTTAATTTCAAATATGCAGTTGTATATTCATTCAAATAGTCAGGATATCAATTCAGGTCCATCTCATTGCTTTGTATTGCTATAATGTTGCAGAAAAACTGGAATCTATTCAGTGTTAACGTTGCAATGGCCGGCACAGGCTTGTATCAGCTTTCCCGTAAAATAAGGTATGTCAATATCTAAGCCATTTCCCCATTTCATTATTTGACGACTTCTAAGAGCAAGATAATATGGTTTTTGTTGATCTCCTTTGCAGGAAAGATTACTTTTCTGATCAGAAGGATGATGTTGCATCATTGGAAGGATAATGATGACTGACATGATGAAAACCCGGCCCACAACCTTTGAGCGATACTCAACTCACTCTGAATTGCAGAGACGCGTCGTTTTCTCCAAGACAGGAACCTGTCGTTTGTTTCTATGTTTCTCTTGCACCAATTTATGGATCGATCTGGAATGTTACATCCCAAAAAAAAAAATCAAATAATCTTTTTGACAATCTCTGCGAATAAATGTGCAAATACATCAAGTAGTCTCTCCTTTATGTTTCTCCGTTGTTTATTCACATGTTTTGCTAAGAAGCTGTTACAGCGAACAATCTTTCTGTTTGCTATCTGAAGTTACTACATTGTAACCTGGCTTTCAGCTTTCAGATTACCGTACCCTGTCTGGTAATCGAATGATTAAAGTTTGCTGTGATTTTCTGATGTGTTGCACTAGCAGCAAGCCTGAAAGGCGTGTGGAGGTTGAGGCTTTAAATCTTTATAGAAAAATATGAGGTCTCTAGGCATGAGACCGTGCGCATTTCTAATAAAATAATGGTGTAAATACGTCAATTCATGTCAGAGTGTTGCTACTATTTTTTTTCTTCTCGTAAAAACGAAAGTGCATTTCATCATGCGAAGATGCAATACTTTTCTAGATAGTTTGAACTGCCCGTGCAAAACTAGGTGAAATCCATAACCAATACCTGAGAATTTCAAAGCTCCAAAAGTTGCAGTATAACACAGTATTAACGGATCGTAGTTTCCATTTTAACTAATTCAAACTCAAACCAATGTATCAACCGAAATATTCAAACCAAAAACATAGCAGACAAAGAAAACCAAAATTGTTTTTTTTCCTAGAACACGTAGGAGATCTGTGTACCAAAATCGTTTTTTTTCCTAGAACACGTAGGAGATCTGCGTATCATTTTATTAAGATAGAGAAGAAAATGCGTACACTGTTAGAGAAAGACTCTGACACCCGCCCACTAAGGATACAACAGAATACCACACACCCAAAGGAAGAAAAAACACACAAACTAGTGCATTAACAGCCCAGCCCTAAAGAGATCACGGAGCCTAGCAGCTCCTGCTAGGCACCAAATAGCGCCCTCATTAGCGATGGCTCAGAGGACATCGGCCAAGCATGGGGTAGTGCCATTAAACACACAGTTGTTCATGTGCTTCCAAATTTACCAAGCTACCAAAATGATTAAAGAGTTTAGCCATTTCTTCTCATTAGTAGGTAAACCCCTTACCGTTATTGACCACCAATTAGTACTCCTAGCAGTAACCTGGGTTGGAAAGCTAGAGTAACCAAGCCGTTTCAGGACCAAACACCATACTTGTCGAGAAAACACAAAAGTGATTAGGATGTGATTAATAGTTTCCTGAGCTATCACATAATGGACATGTAGGCGGGTGTTGAAGTCCTCACTTGTCCAACCGGTCCGCTGTCCAACAACTATTATTAATTGCCAACCATATAAACAATTTGAATTCCAAAGGCGCCCAACTCTTCCAAATTCTTCTCCAAGGTGCAAACCTTACCGTCCCAACAAAGATGGCCTCATATGCAGATTTAGAAGTATAAATTCATGAGTTTGAGAGCTTCCAAACATGTTGATCTGGGACTCGAACTTGTAAGATCACCCCTTTGACCAAGTCCCAGATCTAAAGAAACTCCACAAGAACCTGAACCATCAATGGTCCGTTAATATCTGTTACCCATTTTTTGTTGTCCAAGGCTTGTACCACCGTACACCGCCTAACAGTATTTTTGGCTATCAACTTAGTCAAATTAGGAGCTATCTCACTAACAGTTTTCCCTTCCAGCCATCTATCCATCCAACACAAGGTGGATTGTCCATCTCCTATGCAAGTCTTTACCGCCATGCTAAATAACTCACAAGAAACACGAGGCACCTGGACTGGTAGACCGTGAAGAAAAAAAATCGTTCACCCAAAAAGAAATTACACCCCCCGGGTCGCCCTTACCTTTTTTTGCAGATTACAACTACCCCGCGGTAACCGCCAAAACCGCGTAAAATTCACCTCCAAAAATTTGAATTCAAAAATCGGCGGTTCCGCGGTTCTGGCACGGCTACCGCGCTGTTTCTGGCGATAACCACGATATTTGCTTGATTATCGCCGGTTGTGTAGCAGAACACATGAAATTGAAAAGACACTGGAAAATATTTGAAAATACACTTAAAATGTGTGTAGAAATTGGAGATAATTGGAAGAATATATAGGATACTTACAAATCTAGCTTTTGTATGTGAAATAAAAAAAATTCGGTATGACCTTTTTCTATTTTATGGATTTCGAAGCAATTCAACATTTCGTAGCATAATAATTACAAATTAGCATTACTTGCACATTACTACCATATTTTACAGGAACAACAAATGACCCATTATCATTACAATAAATGTATATCACTAAACACGAGCATATCTACTCACCCAACAAATAACATATCAACTTTACAAAAACATTTTCTGCATCACTAGCAAACCATATTTCACCTATTCAACAATCTTTACATCTCAACAAACATCAATCTTTCACAATGTATTTGACCTAAACCCGATATATTTTTTCTTTTTCCAATTTCTAAACTATTTTCAGTTTGCCCTCAGATTTGAATTTTTCTTACCCTATTTTTTAAAAAATTCTTCACTATCTGCCACTACAAATCAAGAACTACATCTATGATTTTTTTCAATTTTTTTTAGAATTTTCAATTTGCTCAAATTTCATCCAAACCATGGCGCGGAAAAACGTTACCGCGCCCTAGCAATAAGCGCGGTAAGCACACAATAAGGTACAAAACCTCCCCACCGCCGGTGAAGCAATTGCCAATCTCCTCTCTCTCCATTCCCCTCTCCAGACTGATGACTATGTGGCTATGTGGAGCATCCGAGGCTAAGCTTTGTTGCGCTTCCTCCAGGTTATGGAACAGGTATACCATCAAATAACTTCGAGAAACGTCGGTTGGTGGCATTTTGCAACGGCAAAATTCGATATCCGGAGATTGCTTGTCAGCTTGAAGGCGAAGATCATCTGCCTATGCTGCTCAGAATGTGGACATTCACCTATACAGAGGAGAATGACCATTGGTTTGTTGAGTTATGTGTCAATCTGCATGAGTTGTGCAATAATGGGTGTTCTTCATGTGGATTTACTCAGCAGATAGTCCCCAAACTAGGAATTATCTATCCTTAGAACCCGACAATTGTCTATCTATTTTGAGCAGACGATTTGATGTGTTCACCGCAATGCTAGTAGGATGTGTGCATTATCTGACCGATGACAATGCACACTACTTTTGCTTATCTTGCTTCGTACAGGCTTGGTCAGCACTTCCTAAAGGTATGTCAAACCACCTAGTTATATCTATACCTATATAAATTAGGCACTCACTCTTGCTTATCTTGCTTCGTACAGGCTTGGTCACCACTTCCTAAAGGTATGTCAAACCACCTAATTATATCTATACCTATATAAATTAGGCACTCATTTCGAGCTCCTACGTTAAGCAACTAGAAAATTCTAGACATTGATATGATCGATCGTATTGTTGTGACCATAGATCATATTAAGAGTCCTTGTTAAATAAATCATGCAATTAGAAATATCCAACCGTTGATTTGTTGATTGTATTATCATGTATTCATGTATATTATGTTTAGAGTTGTTAAATAATTATTGTAATTTGAAATATCCAGCTGTTGATTTGTTGATTGTATTGTCATGTATATCGCTTGTTTCTATTTGTTACATTCTTAGTATCCTTTATCCAGTTTTATTTATATATTCATATGATTGATTCATCAGCCCATTATATGGTATGAAGCTGAACCACATAAATTTTTAGGATAGCCAGGTATGAAGCTGAACCACATAAATTTTCAGGATGTCATTGGCTATGTAAAGTATTCATCATTCGGATAGTTTCAACAATTACTTCATCGGTTTATGATTTATGCTAAAGGTTTTGTTGTCAAAAGACAACTGCGTCACGTCGAAAGACGTGGTTCACTCGGTGAGTTGTTGGAATAGTAAAGCAATATATTAATTGGTAAAAAATTTTGGGATTCCCCCATTACATGGCCCTAGGGGGCTATTTATAGTCTTAGTACATGCTAATACCCACTAGGGTTTAGTTAATACAGGGGAATTTACATGGTTACCCTTATGATAGGGACATTAGCGTGGGTATTGTTGACGGTCGTTACAGACAAATTTCGACCGTCAATATAACTAAAATAATGGAGAATTACCTATTCTTACAATGCATATTTGTTTTCAAATAATACAGTTCCACTTGTACTTGGAAAATAACATGTTGCAGGAATTTATCAAATAAAATAAAGAGAAAGTGGAGAAAACCTCACTCCTAAGCAAGCAAATGGATAAGGAGGGCCCACATGACAGGTGTAACCACCGAAAACCACCTTAACTGCCACAACCGTCATTGGGACCCACCTGTCAGCCACCCTGCCAAACTTAGGGGCCTGCTAGGCTGGCCCAGGTTCGATCGAACCTAGGGTTCAGCCGAACCCTGGCAGCTGCGGCTCCGGCTAGCCTTACACGTGGATAGGACAGTCAACGAGCCGATCTCGAGCGAGCTCGTCTGCCCAAGCTTGAGCCATGCTCGAGCCAAGCCTATTGCACCTTCAAGCTTTTAGGCAAGCTCGGTTCGAGCTCGGCTACCAAGCTCGGTCATAAGTAGTATAAGATATTTTTTAGTGATAATCCCTTGATAAGTATAATTATTTTCTAGTTAATCACACTAATAAAAGAGTAAAAAATGATTAAAATAAATATATTGTGCTAACACATGCTAATTTATTATGTAAATAGATACTAATATATATATATATATATATATTAGTTAATTAAATCAATAAGGTAAACAAACAATATAAACTATGCATAGTTAAGCTCGGTAGAAGCTCGAGCTCGGCTCGGTAAAGCTCACGAGCTTTTGCTCAAGCTCGGGTTTGGCTCGTTTGGAGCTCGAGCCGAGCTCGAATCGAGCCTAGAACGAGCCAAGCTCGAGCTACTTGCGAGCTTCGAGCTTTTTTGACAGCCTTACATGTGGATGTCCAGGATCGCTTGCTAATGACGGTTACATGGGTAAAATAGAAATTTCGCATGTTAGTAACCGTCGTAGCGAGCCTATAAAAGGAGGAGCTCATTCACTCTCTCAACACACTCAAGCAAGCTCAAATTCCTCTTCATACTTTAGTATTATTATCTTAGTGCTAAGTGGAGTAGAATAGAATAGTATTCGGAGTCTTCGGAAGAGTTTTGGTATGGCTCTAGTAGCTCTTGTATTCTTTTCTATAATACTTTCGATATTAATGAAATACTCTTCTTTATATACTTTTGGTACTTTATATAGTATGAGTATTGTTCTTATTTTATAT